TCGAAAAGATGCTCCAGGCGAAAAGATTTGGCTTAAATACAAAAATCATCGCTGCCACTGAAGCTTATTTCGTGTACAAGGACAAACATTTAACAAGCATGTTATCGAAAAGTTAGAAAAGCGTTGGAATGATTGCATAGCTCTTCATGGTGATTATGTTGATGAATAAACGTTAATTTTTTTTAATGGATTTTATTTTCTTAGTTAGTCCTGGGACTTATTGAACGATGTGTTAGAATAATAGGCTGCAATTATCAAGTCATAAATTTAGACTCATATTCTGCAGAATTCGCTTGAAAGTATCTGAAGTTTTGGCAAATTACACATTTTGCAATAGTAACAAAGACTTTTTTCAGTTGCACGTAGCATAAAAGTTGACTGTAAATGGCAAGTATTTTCTAAAAAGCATGAAGAAATTAATGCTACAAAATCAGAAGAAATATCAAATTTCTTCATGAAAGACTATGAAACAGACATTACGAAAGCCGAATGCTATTTAATTCAATTTTAATTTGAATGCAACCTTTCAATTTCACTTTTGGAACATTCAAAGCAGCTTTTAAATGTAATGTTTCCAGATTCTGCCATAACAAAAAATACCCCATTCAAATACGATTAGCAAAATTATTTTTTCTATTATAAATATATTTCTATTATATACATATTATATATATATATATATATATCCACCAGGTGAGCCAAAAGATCATCAAAACATTAAAAGTTCATAAAAAAAGGATAAAATTACAATAAAAAAGTGTGGCTTGCAAGAAAGGCCTTACAAGGAAGACAAATTTCTTTAGCAGCAAAAATTTTTTTAGTTTCAAATGTCATCGTTAGAGGGTGCTGAACTTAAACACAACAGACACGACAACAGTATGCTCAATTCATTTATTCTTCCAATAACAGTTGTTCAACATGACAGATAAAATATTTGAGTTCGGCTGATGTTGAAGGGGATGAACGGTTCCCAAGTTATTTTAAATAGCCCCATTACCAGAAGTTGACCAGAGTGAGGTTGGGTGATGGAAGCCATGCGATCTTGCCACCTTGACTGATCACTCTGTCTTCACCAAAAGTACTCAATAGGAATCGTTTTACTGGATACATATAGTGTGGCCATCCTCCAAAGCTTATTACAGATAACACACCTCTTTGATTTAATGCAGGCATGACTTTGTGAGATAACACTCAGTGGTTATTCTGCACATTTTCCAGCCAGATATGGCACATGATTCTTCAAAGAAGAATGGCCCAACAATGAAAGATGAGGTGAAGCGACACCAGACTGTCACTTGGCTGGATGCAGTGACTTCATCGTGCATTCATGAGGATTCAACATTGCCCATATATGAGTGTTTTGGTGGTGACATCCCCATGGAGTGTGAAATGTGCTTCATCCATCTAAAAACGTTGAGCAACTGTTGAAGGTAGCTTTCAATTCTTGCCGTAGCCCACTTGGCAAATGGATCATAGCTGTGTCTTCCGGCTGTAACTCATGCAGTGGTTGCAATTAATACGGATAGAGAGGCAATATCCCATACAGAATATGTTGAATTGATGAGTGAGACACATCTAGTTCCTTCAAATTATGCAAGCACGGCTACTTCTCGTGGATGATTCCTCCCGGCTAATTCATTCATGATGAGTGAGACACATCTAGTATCCTTCAAATTATGCAAGCACTGCTACTTCTCGTGGATGATTCCTCCCCGCTAATTTATTCATAGTCGTTGAAACCGCAGTAATTCGACCCTTCACAAACGAGTATCTTCCACTTCGTGGCTGATAATCCAAAGAGCCAGTTTTTTCAAACAGTTTGACAAGCTTCAGTATTCCAGAACACAGTATGGGGCTAATCTTTGTCTTCAGTACTTTTCGTCGTGCAAAATTTTCGCAATACCACAGTTGTTGACTCTCCGTTCAAATAGAACAATTTCACCAACAATGCTCATCAGGTAATGATAACATTCTGAAAACGAACGAAAAATCCTCATGTACCATGGTTTTCTATTGCCAGATAAAACTGCATAATTCTGCTGAATCTCTCACATGTCAGCAACCTCTACCGTTGACATTTTTAACTAATTTTTTTTCTTTTTTTTTTGCTGCTAAAAAAAAATCCAACTTCTTAGTGAGTCCTTTCTTGCAAACCGCACTTCTTTATCATAATTTCTTCCGTTTTTTATGAATTTTTAATGCTTTAACAAACTTTTGGCTCACCCTGTAAATAGAAATAATACAACAGTAAAAAAGTATCAAGTAAAAACTTAATGTAAAAATTACAAAACGATATAAACTTCAAAAACAAAAAGGGATAAGAAAAAAACTAATAAATTTTAAATGATGCATGTAAACAATAAAAAACATTTCAAATACAATGATAATATATATAAAGAATTGCAATAAATGGCAAATTAGCTCAACTCAAGGTTTAGGACGGACTTATCAAGGGAAAAGCATGATAAAACTTGAATCCAGCTAACAACATTAGCGCGCTTCGTCAAATGAAAACAATTGAGACTGAAAGCGGAATTTCATTAATAGAATTATTAAACTACAAACTGTAAGTATTTTGGTTGATGCTTTTATATGCACAATTCTTGTCTCTATCTAGAAAATAATTTTTTTTAAATTATCCTGTAAAAACCGGAATCTGAAAACCTCATAAAGATGTATAGTTTATGGATTCTAATTTCCTCTATGATTATTTGTGATTCAAAATATTTACTTCAATAATATATTAAGAGATTTAAAGATATTTCTGCTTGAGTAATAAAATGAAAAATTTTAATCCAGTATGCATAATATAATTTACAAGAAGTATTTTTAATTATTCAGTTTTATATATATATGAATTTCAAGTTAATTGTAGTAAATTAATTACATTTAATCATCAATTAAAAATTAATGAGTGTTTAATTAAAAAATAATCCTTACATCTACATTTTCAACGTTGTAAAAACATCATTTGCAAGTTGACTACTAAGAAATTTTGCTGTAGTTTGGAGTATATGGTTAAGCTATTTCTAGTATGGAGTACATACTGTGTATTGGCATTTGTATGATTCGATATGAAGTTGTGTTTTCAGAGTATTAAGTGGCACAGACTTGCACTTAGGTATTGAAACAACATTTTACACTTGAGTTAAAATGATACGTATTATAGTAAATATATTTTGATTTAATACCAAGGCACTAGAGATAAATAACACACGTTAAGCTCAGAAGCAGAACCGGTAAAAGTATATTTTAGGGTACTCCTTGGCGAAACATGGATACTGAGTTTGTGCAATTCTTTGACTTATTATTTTGGCTAAGGGAGTGCACAATGCCGTTTTTGTGCAATTCGGGTAACTTTTTTTTCAAGTGAAATTAGGTCGATGTGTACATGGATACCGAGTTTGTGCAATTCTTTGTCTTGTTATTTTGGCTTGCATAACAGCCAAAATAACAAGACAAAGAATTGCACAAACTCGGTATCCATGTACACATCGACCTAATTTCACTTGAAAAAAAAATTACCCGAATTTGCACAAAAACGGCATTGCACACTCCCTTAACTTTATCCATGTACACATCGACCTATTTTAACTTAAAAAAAATCCAAAAATTGCACAAACTTGCATTGCGTCCTTCACTTTGTGCAGACCTTCACTTTGTCCATGTACACATTGATATATTTTCACTTAAAAAGTCAAAGGACAATTCTACAATACAGGCAAACAAAAAATACACAATCTCAATAAACTACATTTTAAACCAAATAATAAAATAACATAAAAAAGGGAAAACATGTTATACATTTAAGCACTACAAAAAGCAAATATCCACTTACCCTATTTAGAAGTTTCTTCGTCTTTAGTCTGTGGCACACGAAATTCCTTAACAGCATCCAAAAACTTCCTAAAATTATCTGAACTCGGATCCGTATATTGGTGTCACCACATCTGAACCTTTCTTCCTACGCATATCCTTCCTACATACAGGACACTTATAACGGCTACTAAGTAAACCTTCATTTACACACCAGTCAATTAACGCTCTTTTCCCCTTCCATTTCAAATCATACAGAAACTTCAAATTAATCTTATTACATTCAGCCATTCTATCATCTAAACAATAAAACCAACACACACCACAAAAGCACTTACAAAACCTCCCATGATTCAAAATTTCTCAGAATCATGCACCCGATTACATCACAATAGGATTTCCATAACATTCAACTACTCAGGCTATCACAAATGAAACAACAACTTGGCAATAAATAAAACAACTTCACCATAATACAAGGGGTACCTTAAAGTCTACTCTAACTACAGTTCTTTATCAGACTACTGCACCAAACTGTAACTGAAGATAAGAAATAGTTTCTATGCATTAACAACAACTTCAAAAAACAATAGCTTTCACTAAGTCAGATATAAACCAAGACATAAACTAAAACATTTTGTTGCATGTATCGTGGAATGCCGTGAACATAATTTTCTTTAAAGTATTGAAACCAGGTCATACTAGGACTTCAAACCTCAACTGTTAAGCTCTTTGTGCTCTAGCTAATAAAATGAGATTATGCTCTCATTTTATTAGATAGAAGAGGTGCTATCCTACTCCACAATTATACCAAACTACATGCAGCATGAATGACTCGGTAGATTAGAAAATAAGGCTGAGAAGTTTTGTCCCACCCACCTTAAATTTAGCAACCATCATCCCATAAATAATCAGAAAAATTTCTCAGGAACATATGGTTGTAAAATACTGAACAAATAAAAAGTGAATAAGGTTTAATGAATATTTTTGCATTTTGACTGCCTTTCATTTAGAGATGACTGCTATTGATAATGATGATGATTAATATTAAGTATTTTATGTTACTGCATTTTTTTAGCTGTCATTCCGTATTGACATTATGTTTCATGCAACCTAAAATTATTCGATTACTTTTCTAAAATATTATACTACTCAGAATCAAGAAATAAAAAAGAAAGTTTCACCTTTTTCTGTTATAGATTTTACTTCCTCTTCAGTTAGGTCACCTGGTTTCAAAACAACCACTACGGGCTTTTCATCATCTCGTTCTGTATCATCATTCTCGTAATCAGCTATTTGTTTCTGTTAAAAATATACACAGAATAACACATATTATGTATAATTTGTAGACATACAGTCCAGACAATTTTTTAAACAAAGTACCTATATGATGCTTTATAAAATTTAAGTTTAAAAAAAAGGGAGGGGTTAACAAACTACATGGAAAAATTATTATCATATTTACTAGAATATAACTTCACATTTAAAATGATTCTGAAATTTTTAAGATCTTAGATTTTATACTTGAGCCAATGCAATAATTTAGCTGATTCACAGTGGAACAAAATGTTCAGCATTGTTTATTTCCAACAGCAAAAATTATAAGTTCACATCTTCAGTTCGAGTTTGATGACAGGAAATAATATTTCGGTTAATCTTCGGATTAAGGTAACTTGGCGATTTTTTGGCGACCAACCCTGCTACAGCAACCTGCTAGTTTTTTTTTTTTTATGGATGCCATTTTGTTTTCACGAAGTAAATGCATTTTTTTTTTTTTTTTTTTTTTTTTTGGAACTACTCTGATATGCGCCCTCAAGTCGCCAAATTTCTCGCCATGCTGCCATATTACTATCTAAATTTTTTGTCTACATTTTGAACTTTTAGCCTAAAATGTCTCCAAAAAACGCGGTTTTCGCACATGCAAAAACTACGTTTTAAACACACAATTTAGCTAAAAATCCGAAACAAAAACAAAAAATTTAGATAGCAAAAACGTAAAGTTTAAAACCAAAAATATTTGACAAGAATCCATGTACACAGCGACATGTTTTAACTTAAAAAACATCTACGAATTGCACAATGTAGGCAACGAACGAATCTACAAACTGCGCACACCTCGCTTTAATAAATTAACATAACAACAACAAATTTCAAAGAATACCATGTATACAGCATCCTGTTTAAACTTTAAAAAAATTCTACGAATTGCACAATTTAGGCAAGGAAGGAATCTACGATCAACGTACTCCTCGCTTTAATAAAATAACATAACAACAAATAAATTTCAAATAATACCATGTACACAGCATTCTGTTTCAACTTTAAAAAACATCTACGAATTGTACAGTCTCGACACTAAACAACAAAATAAACTAAAATAAATTTCAAACAATTTGAAAAAAAAAACAATAACGACAGAAATTCATACTAAAGAACCAATGATCATAGCATTCTACAAAATAAGAACAAGGATAAAATAAAATGCAATTACCATGAATTAATGCGTTTTCGAATAGCAGAAATATAAATTTCATACTGCCTTTAACATGCCGCCACGTAATCACTATCGTATTTACATGAAAGCCAGACACACTATACAGAAAATTTATACTAGGTTCACAAACAAATAAAATCACAAAACCCTACTTCTATCATGCACTGCCATTAAAAATAATCTCCCAGACCCTCTTTCCACACTTCCAAATACCCACTACCCCTCAATAGGATAGCCACAATCATATTTCCTTTTGCCAAACTTCAATTCAACAACTACCATTTTATCTTTCTCTCCCATCTTCTCAGACACAGAGGCGAACCAACAAGCTCCAGCGAAAGATTTTTCAACGTCAACAGGGTGCCATAGAACACGCAATCGCGCCAAAAACCAGCGCAGAACACATATCACCACATTTGGTGAAATTAGAGCGTATATTAGAGTTGTACCTTTTTTTTTTTTACTCAACATTTTTTCCAACAATCTGCTAGCCGAATTACGCTTATGCTAGAACTTTTATGGAACAAAAGTGCTTAATCATGACGAAGATTAGGTGCGAAATTGAGAGAAAGTGCAGAATTGCCCACTGCTTGCCGCGTTTTTAAGAATTGCACATACACGGTATCATCCATGTACACGTTGACCTGTTTTCACTTAAAAAAAATCCCAGAATTGCACATAAATGGCATTGCGTGCACTCTTGACTTTATCCATGTACACTGCTAAAGTCCTAGCTAGTAACCTTTATTGCCTTACCAAAATGTCGCCTAACTACCTGTTACCATATTCCAAAGATCAGCTAATATTTCTATTGAGAAATTGAAAAATAATCATTGTAAAATGGGGGAAAATGCAGAATCACGCACTGCTTGGCGCATTTTTAAGAATTGCACATACTCGGTATCCATGTGCACATCGACCTATTTTCACTTAAAAAAAAATTCTAGAATTGCGCACTCTCTTGACTTTTACCCATGTACACATTGACCTATTTTCATTTAAAAAGTCAACGAAAATTGACAAAAATCCAATTCTTTTTATTCTTGTAAATAGCGCTAAACAAATAAGTGGACTATTCTGCACTTTAGTAGCGAAATTGTTTCTAAGTGCTTATTAGCTAAAATCACGATTGGAATTTTCCGGAAAATGTCACATGATATGTCTCATGATCTCTCATTTCTCTGAGACAAAATAATCTGTGATTCGAACTATGTACTTCTCAGATTATTGCTAACGTCCTACCTAGTAACCTTTATCGCCTTACCAAAATGTCTCCAAACTACCTGTTACCATATTCCAAAGATTAGCCGGCGATTCTGCACTTTACCCGTAAAATGTAGTGGTAATACTAAAGTTTTTCAATTTTTATTTAGATGATACGCGTTAGTCAAAAGGCTGAGAACCTTTTGTTTTGAATTAAATACCCATAAGACATATATTACATACTCTATACATATAAGTAAAATTTTAAATATATTAGATAACGCTAAATTGCTGAATAAACATCTATATAAAAAGAATTTTACTTTTGTCTCAACAGTAGGTGGTTCTTGGTATCCAATCGAATCTTTCATTCTTTTGATGAATGGTGGGTCTGGGGGTTTGATACATGCCACATTTCTTTTCGGCGGCATGATTATGAAATTTTATGCTGACCGTAATTTATGATTTACGTACCAGAAAACAATACAGATGAAAAGCTGAATGTAAGAACTATAAATAAAATAGCTCCTAATGATTAAATTATCAATAATGTTTTAAAATTTTACCATCTTACACTTTCACACCAAATTCACAAACTTACAAAATGATAAACAAAGCACATTTATTTCACACAGTTTGGATACTATGCAGAGAAACAAGCGCCTGGCCCCAGCCACTACCCCTGTTCTTATTGGTTGCCGTTTATGACGTCAGGCTGAAAAGATTCCATTATCTTAAGCTCTACATTATGTTTCGTTTGAGTTATGTCAAGGGGAACTTATAACTACTTGGGATTTGGTTCTCTCCTGTGTTAATGTGAATTTGTGCAATGTAACAGAATATTTGCAATTAAAAGGAACCTAACAGTATAAGATTATATGTCGGCACTTTTTATATAAATTGTTTAATCATGTTAATGGAATAGATAAAACTTTATAATGCGTAAATAGTGTTTGGCTAAGCAATCTGTATTCAATGCAATTCATAGCGCTATACTGATATTTAAGAAATGTATTTTATAATTTCATATAAAAGGAGACCATTAACAAGATTTGCTTCGTCAGCAATGTCGAGAAATAGCACTTAACTTCTTACTGTGTAAATAATGTCTGCCGCAGTTTTCATGAATTAGCGGTTTGTTTTGCAGAAAAGTGTTTTTTAAAAGTGATATAAATGTAAAATTTAGTTATTTCTTTATAAAAATGAACTGTTTGATAATTAAATTACCTTCCTTTCATTTATTGCTTTGTTGTATAGAGATTGTTTGGTATCAAAATTGTTCGTAGTCAGATTAATTTTTTACTTTCTAATCCTAGGCATTAATTTCCTCTCCTCATTTATGGTTAAAAATAAGATAAAGTGATAAGATACTTTTAAATCGTAAAATACTTATAATATAATATCGTTTATTTGACTTTGTCAATTGGAGTTATCATTCTGTTTTTTTTATGTATTATTGTTTTGTTTCTTAACTTTTATATCTTATAAAAAGTGTTTATTGTCAAATGACTTCGATATTCGTCTAATGACCAAAATACTGCTAAACGGTTATCGACTGCACATCGAATTGCACCTTTTTTTCTAATATTACCATGTATATTAACAATATATTTCTGAAGCTGCTTTTTATTTTTGTAATTTTTTCGCAAATATGGCAAATTATTCCATTGCTTCCCATCGCTTACCCGTATTTCAGCGCTAAAATGACCTTGAGCTCAAGCTTTTGGCGCACAAAAATGCTGCAAAAATTCTTTTCGTCACTGTATGACATCAGAAGTCGTGTCCAATAAGAGCTTGGGGTGGGGCCAGGCGCTTGTTGCAGAGAATAAATAATCTGGCCAGTGTTGCCAGAAATGTTTTACATAAAGTAGTAAAACTAGAATGCAGACATTTTTCGTGTTTTGCTGTTTAGGCTGTTAACATTGTTGTAGTAATTCTTTTTAGTTGGTGGTTTATTTTTACCTCTGTCCAACTTATTAAGTAAGAAAGGTAATGTTTTAGTAACGAAAATTCGATAGTGAATTTGCAAAGCATAAGCACAACACCGACTCTACTTCAAGTCTAAGCGGGCGTTTCGAAAATTCCTGTGACATCAGGACGTAATTCTTTGCATAGACGTTCTTTAATCAGGACTTCTAGTCAAGATGAGTAAATACTTCTTAGGATATTTTAGAAACCTTGCTTCTAGTCATAACAAACTTCGGAACGGATGGAGTGGCTATTTGCTGAAGCTTGTTACCAAAGAAAGTCTGTGTAAAGAAGGAAAGGCTCCATAGACGTAATGTAAACCAGTTTGTCTTCTACGCCGCTAGAAAGAGGAGGGACAATTCGCCAAGGGATTTGGCGACGGAACCTGTTAGGGAGAATTTCTCCCTTTGTGATGTACTTGGCCGAGATTTTCCACCTCCGCCACGTGTACAGGAAATTGAGGAATACGGGTTAAGATGAATCGTTCTTTGACTTTTCTCGATAATTTAAACTCGAATTTTCGTGCTTTACTAGTTGAACTTGTATTATCCATATCGCAGTTTGATGTCTGATTTTATATCTGTCAATATGTAGGGAAGAAAAATGGAGTCACACAGCTTTAAACTTTTGATAAACGTGACCGTCGATCCACTACAATCTCAAATCCCAACCAGATCTTTTTGATGTTTGCCGCCTGGTGAAGTCCAATGAAAAGAGCGGGTGGGGAAAGAAGATCCTGAATACTGAGCCGAAATATTTGTCGCCATGTTTGTCCACGTAGCTTTAGCGAATTTGATGGCCAGAGGGTAAAATACTACTATCCGATCATTCACTTTTTTATCAAACATTTCTTTTCAATTAGTACATTAACGGATATGAAATTTTGTTTTCCTAAGTTTTGTATTTTCGATAAATTAGTTTACAAATGACATAAAAAATTAAGATCAAATATAATGGCATCTTGTAATAAAGCTTTGACTTGAGATTACGGTACGTACAAAGTAAAGGTGTCAAGTTTCCTGGCAGTTAAAGATTTTCACAAAAAGTAGTTTAATTGTTTGCATATAAAATACCTACAATTGCTTACATTTGTTTTGGGACTCTTGTAATTGTTATTTGCATAGATATGGAAAGATTGTCTTCAACTGTTTTTTCCTCTGTTTGAACCTCTCATTGTTGCAAAATCAATATCATCAAAATATTCCTTGGAATAAAATAATTTATTCAAAATATGTCAATAATAACTCACATAACAGTTTGGAAACTCGAAAATTTTCTTAAGATGTGGCAGACATGTTGCTGGCCTTAATATTGTACGTTAAATGAAATACACACATTAATTGTGAAAAATCACAATTAATGTGTGTATTTGAAACTCAGTACTTGTTTGGAAAATATATATATTAACATTTTCTTCTCTGAAATGAGCATGGAAATATGCTACAAATTAAAGACAAATGCCATTAAAGATTTAATTATTCATAGATTGATGTAATATTATTTATTATTTGAAATTTCTTTTAGGCCTCTTTTTGAAAAAGCAAATATCCTGTGATTATGAAAAATTCTAAGTTTTTCTAAAAGCACAATATAAAAAAAACAAAACTTTAAATATCATTTTGAAAAAAGCCAAAATTTGATTGTTAAGGCTGGTGATTTTAATCTTACTGTTGTTGTTAAGGCTGGTGCTTTTAATGTTATCATATGACTGTTGAAACTTTTTTAAGTGTCAACTCTGCATATTGTAAAATCCGTCTTCCCCCTCCCAAAATAATAATAATAATAACACTAAAAACAGATTTTTAGTAGCATAAAGTAAACTCTTGGTAATTTCTCTGCTAAGGAACCACATGCAAATTTAAACTTTCATATTTATATGTTTCTTAAAATGTGCCATGATCAAAATCACCATGGTCTAAAAATCCTTTTTTGCTTCATTTCTTAAATTAGGACTATAAAATGTGTAATTGTGAATTTATAAAGTAAAATCAAGTTTTTTTTACTGCTTTTATAATAATATTTTTATAATTTGTCTAACTATAAGTAGTATAATCTTGATCTAATCTAAGGTTATGCAATATACGGCACATAATTTACAGCTCTCAAGTCTTGTAAATCTCACAATCGAATAATTGTGTATGAATAACCATCATTGAGTATCATTACTTTTATTAATAGCATATTAACATAACTGCCGACTTTTTATTTCATATTTTATGAAAATTTTTTACATTACTTAGACATTTAGTCTAACAGAAATCTGAATGTTTTGTAATAAAAGTAAGAGTATAATTTATATATAAAAATCTGAATATATAGCAAGTACTTAAATACCGATTTCAACATCTTTGAATGTAATTATAATTTAGGTACAGTCTTTGCAATCATACACTGTAACTTAATTTTAGGTAGACATTAAGTGAATTGCAGCTAACTAACAAACGGAACTGAGATGGGTGTAAAAGATCCTTTGCTAAAACTTAGAAGAAACTTATAAGAAGCGAAGGCACACTTTATGCTTACAACTCAGCCAATCACTTGTGACAAGATAAATTTATAATGTATTTCTTCCGCCTTCTTAGCGTGCCTTCGTGATGTAGTGGTCTGCACGCTCGGCGCATATTCGAGAGGTCCTTGGTTCAATTCCCGGTGAGGGCATGGCTCATTTTTCAAATCTCCTGCTTCCAAAAAGTACTAATGTTTCTACAGTGGCGCCCAGAGTCGTAGCTATGGTTTTCAGCGCCCAGGGACAACTGAAGATTTCGCGCCCCCTACTGTTTGTCAAGGATGGAGAACATTTAATTCTAAAATGTCGTAACATCAGTTTGGCGCCCCTTGGATTCTGCGCCCGGGAACAGATGCCCCCTCTTGCCCCCCTCTAGCTACGCCCCTGGTGGCACCCGAACTACGGCCCGACCGCGTCAGGCATGAGGGACTTATTTATAAGGTGATTTCCTTTGACTTCAGTAGAGAAATCATTTAAATTATTTACTCCTTTATCAAAAAAGGGAAATTCTTTGTCTCCGTTGGTAAAGATTTTTCAAGTCACAGAAATATCAATGCAGGCGTGCCCCAGGGTTCAATTTTGGGACCTATAATTTATCTTTTTTATGTGGCCGATCTTCCCAGAGATCACATAAATTACGGCTGCTACGCGGATGACACCGCGTTAGCAGCTAAGTCCATGAATGCTGAAAAGGCCATTTAGAACTTACAAATCTTGATGCCACAACTTGAAAGCTGGTGTGTAAATGGCGAATGGAAATAAATGCCCAGAAGTCCCAACTTCTTTTGATCAAAAGAACTCACACTAGGACACTAGTAAAGGCCAAATGCAGCTTTTTAATGTAAGCATCCAAATGGTTAAAAGTGTTACATATCTAGGCATTGTCTTTAACAGAAAGCTCATTTGGTCCGACCACATCAAGAAAATTAGCAGGACTACGGGAATTATCAACAGTCTCACGCCTTTACTTGGAAACTTCTCAGAATTGGACCTTTATAAGAAAAGGCATATTTACACTGCAATTATTCGCCCGGTGTTTATATATGCTTCATCGGTTTGGGCAGCCTATTCAGAGAATGATATTCTCAAACTGCAAGTAATGCAGAACAAGTTCCTAAGAAAAAAAAAAAAAAAAAAAAATGCGCATTTTTATG